CTCACACTACTCACTCATCTCACTCTCCCTTTTTTCTCTCACCTACCCTAGTGTCTCTTTCTGGGACTAGGAGACGAGTGCGAGTGTCTTATCATGCAGGCTTCTCCACACCATCGACACAAGGAAGGATACAAGATTCTCCCCCTTGGAAACTACCTTTCTGAAATTATTTATATATGCTTTAGCGCTCGGTCCTACGCTGCTGTTTCTTTTTCTGAGGTGTCCCTTTTCATCAACCATTTTTCCACGGGCCCTTCGCCACTCACTCACCTTCCTTTGTTAGCTTTCTTCCTGAATTGTCCAGTGTGAGATCTTCGGGGTAAGAATTTAACATCCCACATGTGTGCTTTCTGTACTTCCTCTTCGCTTTTTCCCTTATCCTCATTTCCAAGCAGGTCTAGTTTTATTTTCTACTTCGGCACTTTAGTACGATATATGTATATTGTTATTCTCCATGCCCTATATATACTGATAACTATAAGTATTATATTATATTAATATATTATATAATATATATGTATTTGTATGTATATGTGTATATATACATATATGCAACATAATGTAACGGTACTTTGTATATATGTGTATCTATTATTATATAAGATAATAATATATATGATATATATATATAAGTAATTATATTATATATATATAAATATATAATAATAATACTCGTATATACTTAATATACACTCATCACACACACACAATATAATTACTATACATATATATTAAGAGAGAGAGCGAGGGTGCGATAAGACAAAAGAAAAGGGTTTGGGTGACATTCATAGAGATGAGAATATTAATATTAATAACTCCATAAGATAACATTGCAAAAGTTATGATTGCAACAGTGTGTATGCTTTGCCAATTGAGTCTGTCATGAAGAATATGAGCGAAGTTCAGTTTCCAATCTTTCTCAGAATTATTTTTTTTTGATTTATGAACTCGAGACTCTCGTGAACATCTGGGACGATTTCCTTTTCTGTTGTGCAAATATTAGCCAAATGATAAACTTGAGTGCCATGTGTTGCTTATGCAAGCATGTGCACAAAAACACAAACAGACAGAACACATACTATACTAATACATAGTATACATAAAAACAACCATACATACATATTATACTTTATTTTTAATACTATCTAACTGTATATATATATATGTACATATATATATATACTATATATATATATATACTATATATTACTTATATAGTATATATATATATATATATATATATGTAATATATATATATTATGTACATATAGTATATATAATAGCTATATATTATATATATATATATTTATATATATACATATATATATATCTTATATACTCACCCCATAATATATTATATACTATATATATTTATATATATATATACATTATATAATATTTATAATATACGTTATATAACACTATATATATTATATATTACTATGTATGATACACTATATACTTATATATATCATATATATATATAATATATATATATATATACTATATACATATAAATATATATATAAATTATAATAAATTATAATGTATATATATATATAATATATATATATATATATATATATATAATATATATATATATATAATATATATATATATATATATATATATATAAATATATATATATATATATATATATATATATATATATATATATATATATATAATATATATATATATAATATAATATATATATATATATATATAAATATATACAATATATACATATGTATATATATATATATATATATATTATATATGTACACACATACTATATATCATATATATACTATATATACATATATTATATATATAGCGTATATAGCTACACTCTTACCCTCATATATACGTCGGACCCCATAATAGATTTCCATGGTGAGAATTTACCATTATATATGTGTGATGTGGTGAATGTACTGCTTTGTTCCTGCTCCGTGTTGTGTTCTTTCAAAAACATCACCACACACCAAAAAACAAACCTTTTTTGGTTCGCTGCTCGCACCAGCGGCCAACATATAATAAATGAAATGTGCGGCGTGGGATTGTGTTTGTTGTGTTGCTGTGTGGTTGTGTGCTGTGGACTGTGATGTGTGATTGTGAGTTCTATCCACGAAGGCCTATGTTGTAGAGCTGTTTGTGTGTTGTTGTGTGACATATATATAGTTTTGTGGCGTGTTGTGGTGCGTCCCGCTCTCGTCCTACCAAGTGTACAGGCGGGAGCTATTTTTTTATTCATGAGGTGCGACGTGAGCACTACGGCTGTGTCCAGAGTCGCGAGTGTGAAATAGAAATAATAAACCACTCTCCCGCTCACTCCTACACCACCTCCACTACGACCCCCACACACACCCAACCCACTGCTCTTTCATCTATCATATTCTATCCCCCCCCCCTCATTACACATATTCTTTTCATAATCTAATATCCTCTCACTATTTATATAACTAAAAATACTATCAATCCAAATACAAAATAACAATAAATAACAACAATAACCCCACCCTCCCTCATACCCCTCCCCCCCCACCCTTATTTCCTTTAATTTTAATATATATATTATTCAACCCCCACCCTCCACCCCCCCCCCATATCATCTCTCACCTCACGCCCCTTAACTAAGCTCAAAACCCTCCCCATCCCCCCCCCCCCTACCAACCCCCACTCCCCCCCCCCTCATCCCCCCCCCCCCCCCCCGACCCCCACCCCATCCCCCACACCCTGCCCCCTCCTTCACAACCACCTCAACCGCCCACAGCCTCCCTCTCTCTCCACCGCAACCCCTCACACACTCCCTCCTCCTGACGCGACCCTCTCCCCCCGCTCCCCCCCCCTCCCCCGCCACCTCCACACCCCGCTTCTATCCAACCCGCACCCCAGCTGCACCTATGTGTGTGCAATCTTGCGCACTGATAGCCATGGATCATACAAAAAAGCGCTTTGATGCCACAACATCACGACTAATACATTGAAAGCCTCATGGATGTAACAAGCTTTATTATAGGCCGAGTTGATAAAGCAGAGATGATGGATTCTCTACTCTCACACGTCACAGACACACGCTGCGCGCGCCAATACTATAATATATATAATAAGTGTAATTGTTCTAACTATAGATTATCAATATATATTATTTAGCCTCATCAAAAGTCATTCTATAATGACTAATATATAATATAGATAGCAGAAATTATGGCATAATACTTGCATCCCCTCTAGGCGTATATAGTTAGTGAATTATGTTCCATATTAATTTGATTATGAGGACCTGTACTACACATGATATAGGTATTATATTTTACACACAACACACACACACACACACACACACACCACACACACATATTATATAATATATATACTATATATAATATAATATATATATATATAGTAGTATATACCTCTACCATCACAGAGCACTTCAGTGTTACTACCTCCACCGATCCTTGATGTCATCTTCTTTCTGTCAAAAGGTTGCCATTCTCTCATCCCTTCGAATGAGCACTGTCGCCCAATCCTACCACGTTTCCCCCATAATTCTATGTTCTTATAGAAGCCATGTTTCATATACGAACATTCTGTTCAATTTCTATTTTTAACATTTATAACTTCATGCTACCATTATTTAGATTCCTCATACTATTTATGAATGCTTTAAATTCTATCCGCGAAGATTGTTCTATTCTGCGCCTGTGCTCCCACACTCTTCCAGATTCTCCTTTCTTTCCACCCACTTCTCCCTCTTTCCTCGTCTGTTTCTCTCCTCCAGCGCTTCATCATAGGATTAGCGTCGTGATTCGCCTGTGTGTCCCACTCTTTGGAGACCATCTTACAGCCTGTGCCTATCGACACTTAAGCGAATGGAGAAAGACCGAAGGTTCTGGTAATTTAGTGAGAATGGTCTCTCCAATGAATGATGAATTTTGTGTCGTGAGGCGCAGCTAAAAATTTTCCTGCGTAGAAAAAACCTTAGGCCTCACTGTGAATGAAAATCTCGCGCCTCTGACTTTACTAGCTATCATTTCTTTTCTTAACTTGTAAGACGTGACCTGATACACCTGATAAAGGCTTTAATAATGCCGGGTGATAGGCACCATGCATATACATTGAATGTCGAATACACACAACTACCACACACACACACACACCATCACATTCACCACACATACACAAAACACACCTAAGCATCACTTTCTACAGCAGCAGCTACGCGTCACACACCAACTCACACACACACCACACGGACCACAATACAGCACACACAGAAATCCGCAACTAAACACACCACAACACACAGTACCGCACACACGACCACAGTTCCCCAGCACTACAACGAGTCAGCACACTCGCGGACTTACATGTCACCACAGTACAAAAACAAGATACCTTACTAACCAAGCTCGAACCATCATGCCAATCTTAAGGCGTCTAGATCATCGATATTGGGTCTTAATGATGAAATACCCTTTGTAGATATATCAGCAGAGGTTATAATACTCCCGTATAACAGACGCTTGTTTATTGAATCCGCTTCGACGACAGCAGTCCTGCTTCCGCGTAAGGGGCTCCCACCCTCCTTACTTCTAATAAGCTTTTTCTTCTCTCCTTCTCATGGTCTCCCCACCCGCGTGACCCGCGTGAGTGCTCGTGGAACTCTCTCGAACCATTCGTGTTTTGTGAATGCAGCTTCAGGCTTGCAGCCACACTGTAATTCAACGAACAACGCCTACACCTAACTACACGAGCCACATACACTTACACACACACACACACAGCGACACACACAGCACACACACAGCACACACACGGCCACACACACATCAGTCCACTAAAACGACACACAAGACTATATCTGACTCACTAAAACTCAAATACAAACAAATAGAGTGCAATCTGACAGTCAGATCATCGGATTTTTAAAAAAAACTATATGAACTCTCTACAAACTAAACGCTGTTCTTGAATCCGCCGAGTGCTCGTCCTTAAATATCCGCCTTGACCCACCGTGACGCTCCGAATAACCGGTAGTTGTCCGTATGTGGGACTCTATCGACCATTCCAATGGTGGTATCGATGTAATGATCAAGCTTAGAACCCCACACTGTTAAGTACTTCCAACGCTGGTAGTAACGTGTATACACAAAACAGCAATACACACTATTAGCACACCACATGCACTATCACCCACTCCCAACACACACACGTCTCCACACGGAGCCCCTCCACATCAGACATTCTACTGGGCACACGAGCATGCGACACCAGCGACTACACACCACATCACACACACACACACTACACACACACACACACACACCACACACACACACCCACACACACACACACACCAACACACACACACAACGCGCAACACACATCACACACACCACAAACGAATCCTAAAACAAACATAATCAATCTATTACAGTTGATCATCTGAGTTAAAACAAAAAAGACAAACTATAATTTGACAAAAAAACGACCTTGTTTTTGAATCCGCCGTTTTGACGCCTCTTTCCTGCGAAGTGACCACGTGACCCGCCCAGATGTCATCGTGGACTTCTTTCCGACCACATTCATGTTTTGTGAAAAAGACGGCAAATCCAAGCTATGACCCGCACTTGTATTCAACCGCCGTCAACAGAGTCTGGTGTCATTACATACATCTACACACACACACACACACACACACGATCACACACACGCACACACCACATCACACCACACACACACGACCACCCAAACACACGACACCAACATCACACTTACAACATTCAAACCTAAAACACGCAAACATAACCAACATTCAGCCCTTGTGACCAGGTCGACTGTAAGAGGCCAAAAGCTAGAAGGCCGCGTTTGTTGGATCGTTGAATCCCACACCCCGTTCGGTGACGGGAACTCACGCTCCGAGACTCATAATCATTACTCTACCGACTCGTGCACAGATCAGTCGGGCTTTCCGCTGACGCGTATAGTTATCTTACTGCCCATCACAGCAGGAGGAATAAAATCCAATTTGCGTCCGCGATCATTACCAATACGCAGAAAGCTACGGGCACCACTCACGTCTCACAACATAATCTACCCCACAATCCAAGCGCCGACATCCCCCGCCTTCTAACATCTATTAGGTCAATTACACGTACACTGACACTCTTTAATGGCAAAGTGCTGTAAGAGCACATCGTGTTCGTTCGATCGTTCACCGCTTTCCCCATGAACATCGTAGGAGGCCTACTTCGGAAACCATGAACCCTGCATGCGCCGCCTTAAAGCCCACTTCAAACTTCAGCTCTATGACACGGGACCGCTCTGTCGAGGGGAGGCTGTTTTCCCGAGAGGGGGGCTCAGCGACGCAGTGGAGCGACGCAACAAGAGAGAGATGAAGTGATGGTTAGAAGAAATACACCCGTGAGACGGTAGGCTAGACGGAAAGGAACGAAGGGAGCAAGAGGGCGATTGTTGGAAGGAGAGGGAGATATGTGGAGGAGAGGAGGAGAGAGATTGTTGAAGACAGCAGGGGAGGGAGGTAGAGAGATTGTGTGGAGGACATGTGCAGTGAGAGTATTGAAGCAGAGCGAGAGAGAGAGAGAGAGAGAGAGAGAGAGAAGAGGATAGAGAGAGGAAGAGAAGAGGAAGAGAGTAAAGAATAGAGAGGAAGAAAAGATGAGAGGCGCTGGGATTAAGAGAGAGAGTAGAAAATTAAGAACCTGGGCTCACTGATTGTTGATCTTCGGGGAATGGTGGATAGAAACTACTTGTATGGCATGTAGTCTTTGATCCGAGGCATCCTCAGAGAAAGAAGATATCGGGATAGAGGAGATTGTGGACAGAGAGAGAATTTTTGAGCCGAGAAAGAGAGGCACGAGAAGAGATTACGTGTGTGGTGGATGACATGAGCGAAGGCCGTCAAGCAGTTGTAACAACGGACAGAAGATGAGAGCCGAGAACAGCCCATCGCCTAAATCTCGTACTCGAGGAGCTAACGCGAGCAGCAAGAGAGAGAAGAGAGAGAGACGACGTACATAAGAATGATGCATACTCCAGGATGACTAAATATTGAACGGTAAGGAGGAGCACATCATGAACGAGAGAGAACCGTAGAGGAAAGATAACGAGATGATCGAGAGAGAGGAGAAGATTGGAGAAGAGAGAGAGAGAGAGGAACGAGAGAAGAGAGAAGAGACGAGATGAAGGCTGACGAGGTGGCGAGGGAGAGGAGATTCCCATCGGAGTATGATACTCCGAGTGGGAAGCTTAAATCGAAAAAGAGGGAAGACCCCGAGGAGGTGAACTTGGAGGAGAGAGGTCCAGAGAGGAGGAGTGATAGGGAGATCAGACCAGGACAGACAGACGACAGAGAGAAGAGAGAGAGAAAGAGAGAGAGAGAGAGAGAGAGAGGGAGAGAGAAGAGACGGAAAGAGAGAGAGAGAGGAGAGAGAGAGAGCAAGACAGGAAGAGAGCGAGAAACAGAGAAAGTGAGATAGAGACAAAGAACAAGGAAAAAAGAGAGATAAATATCTAGAGAGCTACTCAGACAGACAAAGTAGATAGATAGACAGAGAGAGAAATATCCAGAGAGCTAGACAGGCAGACAAACAGACAGACAGAGAAAGAGAGAGAGAGAGGGGGGGGGGAAGCCAGGCAAAAAAATCACGAGGAAGTAGATAACCCATTTATATGATAATTGTCACGGAAACATTCAAGACGAAGGTGCCGAGAAATCGATAAGAAGGGAAAGATGTAGGCATGGCAGCAGCTCTCCCCCCCCCCCCTCAGGGTAGTGGGTGGTGCGGTGTGGGTGGGGGGGATTCGAACGGAGGAGAGGGAGCAGATAGAAGAAGCTGAGAGACGAATTAGGAGAAGGGAATGAGGACGTAATTATGAAGGATGGAGGTAGAGAGTGAGCAAAGAAGGAGAGTGAGAGAGAGAGAAGGGAGGAGGTAGGGAAGAGTGTGAGTGTGTGAGTGTGTGTGTGTGTGTGTGTGTGTGTGTGTGTGTGTGTGTGGTGTGTGTGTGTGTGTGTGTGTGTGTGTGTGTGTGAGTGAGTGAGAGAGTGAGAGAGAGAGAGAGAGAGAGGAGAAGACAGAGAAGAAGAGAGAGAATGATAGAGAGAGAGAGAGAGAGAGAGAGAGAGAGAGAGAGACGAGAAGAGAGAGAGAAAGATAGATAGATAGAGAGAGGCATGGAGAGGGAGAAGAGCGTGATCAAATTATATCTATATCATATTACCGACATAAGCGTGCTATGGTTATTTTCTATAAATAGTGTTATATTCTGTATAAAATGATCATTTGTATGCTTTACAGGATCCTACATATGCTGTTTGTATCTTCTCACAAACTGCTTTACATATTAACTCATCTCATCCTGTCTCACTAAACACAGTAACTTTGTGTTATCTTTCCCTGCCGCAAGAGTAAAGTGTTATGTGTTATCTTACCTTGTTGTAAGAGTTAAGAATTGTGTTACCTTTCCCTATCGCAAGAGTCAAGAATTGTGTATTACCTTTCCCTATCGTAATAGTAAAGAATTGTGTTACCTTTCCCTGCCGCAAGAGTAAAGTGTTATGTGTTACCTTTCCCTATTGTAAGAGTCAAGAATTGTGTATTACCTTTCCCTATCGTAATAGTAAAGTATTATGTATTACCTTTCCCTGCCGCAAGAGTAAAGTGTTATGTGTTACCTTTCCCTGCCGCAAGAGTAAAGTGTTATGCGTTACCTTTCCCTGCCGCAAGAGTAAAGTATTATGTATTACCTTTCCCTGTCGCAATAGTAAAGAAATGAGTTCCCTTTCCCTGTCGTAAGAGTAAAGAATTGTGTTACCTTTCCCTGTCGCAAGAGTCAAGAATTGTGTAACCTTTCCCTGTCGTAAAAGCAAAGTATTCCTGTAACATTTCCTTCTTCACCACCAACAACAATTGTCAGATGTCAAATACGTGATTTCTAGCAAGACTTAGACCACAGACCTAATACGAAAGGTAAGACCCGCTGTGAGGAGCTAAGGAGCAGCACCTCACACCTAGAAGATGCCTCACTGGAACAATATTATTCCTAAATAAAATTATTCTTAAATAAATAATAAATAATAAGAAACCTCACTGGAACAATATTATTCTTAAATAAATAATAAATAATAAGAAACCTCACTGGAACAATATTATTCTTAAATAATATTATTCTTAAATAAATTAATAATAATAAGAAACCTCACTGGAACAAATTATTCTTAAATAAATTATTCTTAAATAAATAATAAATAATAAGAAACCTCACTGGAACAATATTATTCTTAAATAATATTATTCTTAAATAAATAATAAATAATAAGAAACCTCACTGGAACAATATTATTCTTAAATAATATTATTCTTAAATAATATAAATAAAATAATAAATAAAGAAAACCTCACTGGAACAATATTATTCTTAAATAATATTATTCTTAAATAATATTATTCTTAAATAAATAATAAATAATAAGAAACCTCACTGGAACAATATTATTCTTAAATAAATAATAAATAATAAGAAACCTCACTGGAACAATATTATTCTTTAATGAAGGAATCAAGAGATCTTTGTTCTCTGTCTTAGACCCTGATCTCACAATTCACTATACTTATGTAAGGTCTCTCTCTCGGGGCCCTAGATAAAGGAAGGAAGAATGGGAGAATGGGAGGGAGAGTGAAGAAAACAGGGAGGAGGAGAGAGAGGGAGGGGGAAAGTGAGAGAGCGAAGAAAAAGGAGTGAATGATATAAATGGGGGAAGGAGAGGGAAAGGAAGAAGAGAGATAATACGGATATGGGAAAAGAGAGATGGGGATAGACTCAAAGATGGAAGAATAGTTAAATACACACACATACATATATGTATAGATAGACAGATAAATAGATAGAGAGAGATGGAGAAAGGGAATGAGAGAGAAGGATAGATACACAGATGGAGAGACATATATATATATATATATATTATATATATAATATATATATATATATATATATATATATATATATATATATATATATATATATAACATATATATACGTACATCTATCTATCTATCTAGTACAACACACACACACACTTTATATATATTATATATATATATATATATATATATATATATATATATATATATATATATATATAGTGAGAGAGAGAGAGAGAGAGAGAACTAGTAGGTAAGATAGAAAATAGAGAGAGAGTGAGGCACAGACATAAGTATATCAATATTCAAGTATGAGGCAATATATAGCCATCGACATGATCCCCCTCGACTCGAAATGAAAAACATATCAAGTCTTGATCGAAATTGACTGAACCGAGAAGAGCGGCTGCTGGAATGTCGAAAGAATGTGTTTTATTACCAACTTTTGTATCCACTCTCTGGTACTCTGCGAGGGAGATACGGGACTTCTGAACGGCTCGTTTCTTTAAAATTCGTGGCTCGGAAGAAATGTGTGTTCATCGGCTCGAAAGAATTATTATTTGGGGGGGGGGGGGTTATCGTCATTCTTTTCTGCTTCTCTTTTGTCTTTTACAAAGTTTTGAATTTTCAAAGACTGCTACACTGATTTTTTTTTCTTCTGTGAAATTAGGACAAACTCATGGAAACAGAAAGAAAGAAAGAAAGAGAGAGAGAGAGAGAGATACAGCAAAATAGTTAAGATTACAGAAAAAAATGGCGTATTTGTATCTAGCAGGATCAGCCAATTTGTACCATGCATCGTGTTTTTGCGACGAAACCTCAATTCTGGCTGCTTAGATCCAGTCTAACGAATGAAATTTATCATCCCGATGAAGCGATGAATATATTAGAGAAAAACTTCACTTAGCCAAGCGGTAAATCGGGAAGAAAAATGATTCTTCCAAAATCCGACATAAACCTCACACACGTCATTCCAGCATAACACCAAGAGTATTTGATTTTTAGTTGTGCGGTCCATTAAGAGATGGCGCCACCGACTAACTTCCCCAATTAACATCATAAAACCAACGTAGCGCCATCAACTGAGATCGTAAATTTGACAACTCTAATAAACAGCAGATATATAGATAAAAATAATAAACAGACGATATATAAATAAGATAATAAACAACCGAAGTACCGATGCATATAATTACCCGGTGATATAATCAAGATAATGAACTAACAATGCATAAATCAGAAGAATAAACAACCGATATATAGCTGAAAATAACAAAGAGCAAAAAGTTACGAGACTCGGAACACAAATTACTTTTCCATCATTTTTTTCTCACAAGACCGTATCCAGGGAGACTCAGACCTCGAGTAAACAGCCGTTATATTTCTAAAAATACTAGAACAACCGACATACAACTAAATATTGATAAACGACCAATATATAGATTCACAATTAACCATCCAATATAGAAATTAGCAACCGATACGTAGATCAGACAACAACAACAGCAGCAACAACAAATACAACAACAACAGCAACAACAGCAACAACAAATACAACAGCAACAAAAACAGCCGTTATACAGAATGACAAAACAAAACAACAAAAAAACAACAACAACAAATACAACAACAGCCGTTATACAGAATAACAAAAAAAAAACAAAAAACAGAAACAAAACACACGAAAAAACGATGCCAATAAACAGAAAAAAAACGTAAACGTAAATAGAAAAAGCACTGCAACCGCACCCCCCCCCCACCCCACCCCCCCCCCACCCCCCCCCCCCAGCGACTCAGCCATTCAAGGAGTGACTCAAATACCAAATAGAAGACTAATCATATAAGACAAATAATATAATATAATATAATAATAAATAATAAATAAATAATAAATAATAAATAATAATAAGACAAATAGAAGACTCAGAGACGCGACTCACGGCACAAAAGGAGGCGGGGTTAGCTTGCCTTGTTAGTCTCGGGGGGGGGGGGGGGGGGAGCTATTCGTATATGAGGAGAGAGAGAGAAAAGGAAAATCTATTTTTGGGGGGAAGAAGAGTGGGGATGGATGAGTGGATGGAGGAGAGGAGAGATGGGATGGAATATAGAGAAGTGAGAGAGAGAGAGAGAAGAGAGGAGAGAGAGAGAGAGAGAGAGAGGAGAGAGAGAGAGAGAGAGAGAGAGAGAGAAGAGAGAGAGGAGAGAGAGAGAAGAGAGAGAGAGAGAGGGAGAGGAGAGAGAGAGAGAGAGAGAAGAGAGAGAGAGAGAGAGAGAGAGAGAGAGAGATTTGATAGATAGATAGACAGAGATAGATACAACAAAGATCAACAGAGAAAGAAACAGAAAAGAAACAACAAAAAAATCTTACACCATTCCTCCACACAAAACCTTCAAAATTAAATCCGAAATATCCACACCAGAAACAGAACATATTGTATGAATTCCAGAAAGAAAGAGGATGAGAACAAATGAAAAAAAAAAGAAGAAAAAAAACACTCGCATCAATTTTATAACGTCGAGTAATTTTATGTCAACTAATTATCATAATTTTTTCAACATTAATGACTCCGGTTTAACGCATATTTAGATTGGCGCATACGTTTGCCACACAAATATCTATGACATTATGCGGACGAAAATCATTTCATTGTCCTTAATATTTTCACTTTTCTCTATTTTTTTTTTAAAGATTTACGGCAAGATAAGTTCAAGTTAATTGTTTCATTTTTGGTTTTCTTTATATTCATCGTCATCGTCGTCACTTTCACCATCATCATTATCATTATCTTCATCATTATCATTTTATCATCATCATCATCATCATCATCATCATTTTCATCACCACCATCATTATTCATCATCATCCTCTTCATCATCATCACCATCTTCATCATTATTATTCAATTATCATTACTATCTGTATTACTATCATCAGCTCATTTTCTGGTTCTTGGAATTGCTGTTTACTCTTGTTAAGCGGGTTGTAAAGAATAAACAAGGGCTTCCTGTCTTACAATTCTTAACAAGGAGTCTTTTGTACAACTCTCACATCGCCCGGTACACCTAATTTTTGGATACACCTGTCAGTTTTTTTTTCGGTACACCTGTCAATTTTTTTTCGATACACCTGTTAACGATACACTTGTCAATTTTTTTCGGTACACCTGTCATTTCATACACCTGTTAAATTCTTTTTCGATACACCTGTCAATGTTTTTCGATACAAATTTTTTTTCGGTACACCTGTCATTTTTTTCGATTACACCTGTTAAATTCCTTTTCGATACACCTGTCAAAATTATTTTTTTCGATACACTATTTTTTTTTCGGTACCAAAAATTCTTTTTCGATACACCTGTCAAATTAAATTATTGTTTCGACTGTCATTTTTTTCTCGATATACCTAAATTCTTTTTCGATACACCTGTCAATTTGTTTTTCCTATACACCTGTCAAATTATTTTTCGATACACCTGTCCATGTTTTTCGATACACCTAATTTCCTATACACTGTCAAATCGTTTTTTCTATACACCTGTCCATTTTTTTTCGATACACTGTCAAATCTTTTTCACACTTCCAAGGAACTTTGCAACCCTCAGTCCAGTCTTCTTTCCTCGCAAATCTGTATTTCTTCACTTTTTTCTCTGTTTTCATGTACTCTTCCATCGGCAGGTACTGCAATATCCACGATTATACCACTTTTTTTTTTTTTTTTTCTTCAATAATAACAATGTCCAATTCTCATTTCTCATTGTCTGTATATTTAATATCCAACAGTAATTTTTATATCTTTATATTTCCTTCTCTCTATCTGGGTCATGTTCATACCATCTTTCTTTACGTTCTAAGGCATTTTTCTTATACAGTTCCCAAGGAATTTTCTTTGGTACATTTTCATGGTGTCTTGTATTCTTTTATCGTTCCTTTGTATTCTTTTTCTGAGCTAATTTTCACATTTACTTAGGTTTTACACTTTTCGCCTCTTTCCACACATTGCAAGGAAATTGTCATTACTTTTATCAGAGCGTTTTAATTATAATTTATTTACGTTATTATTATTATTATTATTATTATTTTATGTTATTAAATTATTATTCATTGTTCATTAATTGTAATCATTATCATTTTGTTATTATTGCTATCATTATCATTTTTATTATCATTATTACTATCATTATTATTTTCATTATCATATCATTACTATATTCATTATTATTACTATAATCAGCATCATTGTTGTTATTATTATCATTATTATAACATTATCATCATTATTATTACTAAAAACAGCATTATTGCTCTCATTATCATTACTATAACATTATCACCATCATTATTACTATAATCGATTATTGGTCTCATCATTATCCATCATTATTACTACAATCGATTATTGGTCTCATCTGTTATCATCATTATTACTATTATTATTATTCGCATGTTCATAAAAACCGCCCACTGCGAGTCGTTCAGCGGAGCACGATAATGGTCGATGTCGATTCCGAAGCACGCGAGCGATTTATTAAAAAGCTGGATTGGAAAAAAAACGCGGGCGGACGTAGGCGGGGAGGGAGGGAGGGAAGGGGAGGGTGGAGGGGGGGGAGGGGGGAGGGTGGGATGGGGAGGGGGGGGGTGGTGGGGTAAGGAGGGGGAGGGGGGGAGGGAGGGGGGGGGGGAGGAGATGGAGGGAGGGGAGGGGTGGTGAGACAGGGGAGGGGAGGGGTGAGGTGGGACGGTAGGGAGGGGGGAAGAGGGGAGATGGAACAAGGGAGTGGGAGGGGTGATGGTCAAGAGGGAGGGGAGGTGGACAAGGAGAAGGGGAGGTAAAGGCAGGGGGAGGGGGGATGGATACAGGACAGGAAAAGAAGTTGAGGGGTGGGGGATGGGGGGGAGGGGGGCTGATATTCCACTCATCCTGATTGGGATAAAAGAGGAAGAAGAGAATAAAGAAGTGAAATAGTAAAAATGGTGATGAAGTCGATAACGATGATAAGGAAAGGTACGATAGTGATGATAAAGATAGTGATAAAATGACGGTTATCAAATACGGCAATGCAATGGCGGTGGTAATGACATCATTAGTGAAAGTGATAATCATATCAATGAAAAGGAAAGGAGAAGAAGGAACGAGAAAAAGGGGTAAGAAAGAAAGAAAGAGAGAATAAAAAAATCAATGAAGTGATCTTCAAAAAAGTCCCGCATAAATAAATAATAATTCGTCTATCAATTTACTTTTATACTCGATAATTAATCATTCATAACAAAATTAATAAATGTGACGTCATCCACTAACTTGTAGCATGTTATTCCTTGAATGAAGTAAGAGAGAGAAAATGAAGGAGTAAAGAGAGGGGAAGAATAAAAGCGAGAGAAAGCGAGACGAAGACGGGAGAAAAGGGAGTAGATAGAGAAATTGGTGGATATGGGATATTAGAAAGAGGGAGAGATAAAAAGAAAAAAAGACAACAAAGAGAAACATAGATAAAGATAGAGAAACAGGTAAGAATTACAATAGATAGAGACAAAGATAAAGACAGGTACATATAAAGGGAGAGATAAAAATAGATATAGACATAGACAGAGATGAGGAGATAAACAGAGAAGGAGACAGAAATAGGGACAAACAAATAAATCGATAGAGAAGACAGACTGACAAAAATGAAGAAAGACCAAAAATATTTAATGGGTCTCAGAGATAAGCCAGTTCCATCCCATTCCAATTTCTTCCCAATTAACGATCATAAGACAAAGAACTAATTAATGTTTGTTTGTTATCTTTATTACGTCTTTTCCGCGGGTCATGCGGAAACAAACAAACAAACATTTATCTGTCCGTTTCTTTGTCTATCTTCTTACCTGTCTATCTGCCTATCTATCAATTTATCATCTATCTGCCTATCTATTTGTGTTTATCTATCTATCTATCCGTCGTCTATGTATCTACTTACCTATTTATCTGTCTGCCTATCTGTCTGCTTGCCACCCTATCTATCTATCTACTCACACACACTCACAAACGCGGGCACACATGTAAACAAGCGAAATAAAACGTGGGATTTTCGTTCTTCTAAGGCAAAAGTACAAAAGATTTTTTAGTTTCATATTTGAGCCCGGGGGAAAATACAGCAGCGGCAACAGCAGCTGGAACCATTCTTTTCTTCGGAAAACAATCGTATTAGACTTTTTTTTTCTTTCTTTACTTCCACAAAAGGAAAGAAAAATAATTGCGTACGTTCGTAGATCAGCTTCGAGCGGATTGGCGAAAATGTAAACAAACAAGATGGCGGCGCTTGGGATAGTTATTATCCACGAAAGCACACACACACACGCGCACGCACGCACACACACGCACACACACACACACACACACACACACACACACACACACACACACACACACACACACACACACACACACACATCCACACACACCACAACCACACCACCCACACATAAATATACTGTATGAAAACATCTGGAGTTTTATTATTTGGAGCGAAAGAAAAAAAAGTAGGTTTAGCAATATGACCAGACGAGGAACAGTTTGCTCATATATGTTTTCTGATAAAGTGAAATGCGTAGTTTTTTCTTTCTTTTTTGTTTCTTGGAAATATTAGTACTTTGGACATACTAGATCTTTGGACATTTGTAAAATAAAACAGCATAAAAATGCATGATGATTTTTTCGCTTCAAAACACGTTTTTATTCCTCGCTCACCAAAGTCAAACAACACGTTTTCTATACACGTTAAAAAGAAAAAAAATGAAGGGGTGACAATTTTAACAACACGCCGTAACAACCCACCTTTTCGTGAGAACTCTCGTCAGGAGTTTGGGTCCGTTGGCGCCCCACACCTTGCCATCGAAGTGGGCAGCGAAGTGGTCCAAGCACGCCCTTATGAGAGGGTGGGCGGGCGTGAACTTGAGCACTCCAGCAGACGCCCACTGACTCGATTCCAGGCCGGTGCAGTTGGGCAGCTCCGTCAGGGGGCGCTTCACGACCACGTCCAGGTCGAGATACACTCCTCCGTAATACCACAGCAACAGCCATCTGGGGGACGAGAGGCAGAGCGTGGTTATTCAGGACACGGGCGGGGGGTGGGGTGGGGGGGGGGTTGGGGGGTTGGGGGGGATCTCCCTCGCCGGTTTCATCTCGTGATTTACTCGTCAGTCCATATCTCTATTTCTTTATATCTGTCTCGATACCGACTTGATCTGTCCATATGTTTATTGACTATTTACATGTATATCTGTATATATATTCATATATAAAGACACATACAGGGACATACACTCGTGCGCGCGCACACACACGCGCACACACACAGTCACACACACACACACATGCACACACAGTCACACACACACACATGCACACATGCACACACACGCACGCAACACACACACACACACACACACACACACACACACACACACACACACACACACAACCGAACCGACACACACTCCCAGACAAACACACACAACCGAACCCACACGCACACCCATTCAAACACATGGAACACATAAGAAAGTAAAAGCACCATGTTTTATGGCGTATAAACTCTGTTTTATAATATTCTCAGCAAAATAAAACTTTCTTATAATCGTCTTTTCAAAGTTTGATGATAACCGAATCATATATATACATATATATTCTTAATGTCACTATAAATTTAAACGTAATTGTATTATTGTACTAAACTAAATAATTTACTGATTTTTAAAAGTATGTGTATAATACGAGTTTATATACATATATATAGATATGTATACAACAAACACACACACACGCACATATATAATATATATATATATATATATATATTAATATATTATATATATATATATTAATATATATACTGTATATATACATACATACTACATGCATATATATATATATATATATATATATATATATATATATATATATATATATATATATATATATATATATATATAATATATTTACACATACACACATATATATATGTGTGTATGTATGCATTAAAGGGACGAGAGATGTCCCAAGAGTATAGCACAGAAAAGTTAGAAGAAAACACGACTGAGGTAACACTACAAGAAGTTTTTCTTCTTCTATTTCTTTCTTCTTTCTTCTCTATATATATAATATATATATATAATATATATATATATATATATATATATATATATATATATATATATATATATATTGTGTGTGTGTGTGTGTGTGTGTGTGTGTGTGTGTGTGTGTGTGTGTGTGTGTGTGTGTGTGTGTGTGTGTGTGTGTGTGTGGCGCGCCTACATCGATGCGTGTCTACGTGATTATGTGTCTCCGTCTGTTGCGTGTGTAGGTTTCTTTATGTATGTCAGTCCGTGTGATTGTGGGCATATATAACAATAAATGTCAAGAGTGTGTGTGCGTGTCTGGAAATTCTACGAAAAAAGTACTCTTCTCTTCCTCTTTCACACTCT